CCACTCTTCTCTGTACTTCTTGCAGGCTCCCAAAAACCACCACCTTTCTGATTTGACAGAATCAAAAAGGCCAACTTCTGAAAGACAGATTTAACAGTGTTAGGAGATGGGTAAACTGGTCTTCTGCACAAAACACATATCTCAGATGGCTTGGAAGACTGTGGATGATGAGATACACATGATGTAACCTGAAATATAAGCCAGCTAAGTTGTGACCACATTAATTTAACATGCCCAAAATGACGTCGTAACTGAGGGGTGATGGAATGCTGGCCCCCTAGAAAGTAGGGACTCCGAGTTCAGCTCTGTCTGCATGTTACTTACAACTGCATGGCAGAGTGTGCACGGTTTCCAATAAAGAAGACAAACTTTCCTAGGTTGGACAGGGACCATGCATTCTGGCCACAGCTCGGTGCTGGGGAAATGCCCTCTAGATCAGAGTCCCTCTTCTGTTTCCATGTTCTAGTGTGTTCTGTCCTATCCTACAACTTATTCTTTAGGGAAAAAATATTGACACAAAATATTTGGGGCAAATTACGTGAATTCTTGAAGCTACCAGGCATACATACCAGTGTGTTATGGTCTAAGTCTAAAATATACCCCCAAATCCCAAGTGTTTGGAAAGTGATTGGATCGTGGGGTGTTACACTCCTCGTGGGTTCACCCATTGATGAATTCTGCAGCTGAAGGTGGGGTCATTGGGGCCTGATGGAAAGGGTTCAGTTCCCACCCCGCTCCTCCCTTCTCTCTGCTTCCAGTCTGCCTCCGTGTGACCAGTGCCCCTCCTCCAGGCCCCTCCACCACTTCTTCTCTGGACCCAGCCAACCACAACCTGAACCCTCTAAGAAACATGAGCCCCAGTAAACCTCTGCTTTAACTGGTGTCAGGTATTTTTTTCCGCCAGTGACGGGAAAGTGGCTAAGGCACTGTGGAAAATAAAGTAATATCCTAGTTTGGATTGGCTCAAATCAATTCCCAAGGCTGACTGACCAATAATGGTAGAAAGTCATCAAGATCATTCAGCAACAGGTTAGATGTTTGCTTTACCAAGACGCAAGGACATACAACCTGCATCTCCGCTCCCGTTCTGCTTCCTCTCTGTCTCGCTTTCAAAATGTGAACTCCCTGAATAAGGAGGAGTGACACGATGACATGTGACCCTTTGTAGAGTAGCCACAGATCACTTCGGAGAGCTTCTGTCCGCTCTGCACAGTTTAGCCACTTCTGTCTCCATTGTCCCCTACATCCTTCCAGACATCGTCCCTGCTGACAATCCCAGTCACACGGACAATTCTTGAGAGCAAACCTTACTCACAGATACACCCATATCTGTGTTCCTGGTGTGTCCTGGTCATGGGCAGTAGCCTCCGAAATCTTTATCCTGGCCCAGTGAATCTGCTTATGTAACTTAATCCCTCTGAATCCTCTTTTTGTTCTGGATTTTATCTGCTGGTTCACTCATTCTGGAAAATCAACCAATAATAGAATCTGCTGCTGATTATCTACCTAAATAGAGATGACCAATGACACATGTATCATGAAAAATAATTTAAAATGTTTTAAAATTAATGTGTGTGTGTGTGTGTGTGTGTGTGTGTGTGTGTGTAGTGAATTTACTCTCCTCAAATGGTGGTGAGATGTGGGAGAAAATACATAAATACAAAAAGTATAAAGTCTGTCCGAACAGGATTGAGGGAGGGATACACACACACACACACACACACACACACATATACACACACACACACACACGCGCGCGCACTTAATGCATGAACAGCACAAACAGGCACACACACGATGCCCAGAGGGCTGTCACCAATAACTGGTGACAGCTCAGCAGACCCGGAGCCCATGGGACAGCGCCCAGTCCAGGGAGGGCTCTGGGGATAACAGGGCTGGGCTTTAGAGGGTGAGTCAGGGCTCAGACTGGCAAGGAGCAGGAGGAGGAGCATTTGATTGACTACACTTCCTCAGGCATGACTTCGGTCAATATTGTGGAGCTACAGATTCGGTGTGGTGCATAACGTGGAGAAACCAACTGCAGTGGAGCCCATCAGGGTCCTCCACATGTTTCCTGGGAATCAGGATTATTTTTCCAGGAGAACTCTGTCTTGGCTTCAGGATCTAGGGTACTGGAGATTGGCTGACGATTGCTAACTTTAGCCAAAAGCTTGGGTTTTCTGAATCCACAGGCTCCACCATTCCCTCACCCTCCACTACCAGGGATTTAAACCCAGGCCTTTACCGTGAGCTACAGTCCAGCACTTTCTTGAGTGCTGAGAGACTTGATCTCCCTAAATTGCCCAGGCTGGGCTCAGTCTCATGATTCTCCTGCCCCTGCCGTCGTGTTGGGATTACGGTGTTGAGCCCCTGTCACGGGTCCCTGATCCTTCTTAATGGTTTGTCTGTTTCTCTTCCTCCTCCCTAAAAGAAACTTCCATCACCTAGAGAAACATTATTAGGTTTGGAGTACTAATTTGTACATTTTTTCTTATGCAAATGAAATCATGCTTATAATTTGTTTTTATACAAAGGTGTTGGGGACCCCTGTAGTCAGGTTCCAGTCCCCACCTGCCCAGTACATGACACAGGCCTGAGAAAATAAATACACTAAGAGACAGAACTAAGGGAGAGAAAGCAGGGCCCAGGATGACCAGTGCTGGTGCAACTGACAAAGGCCCTGGCCAGTCCCAGGCACTGACTTTTATCGGCAGTCAATTGGGGTAAAGGTGAGCTATGTGCAGTTTCTATAAAAATTAATGTAAAAAAGGCTCAGAAAGGACAAGACAAAACATTCTCAGATTAGCAACAGAATAGACAAAATATATTATTGTAATTGGAACATTTTCCTTCTAGCCGGAAGGTTTTAGTTGTGGGAATGGAATTTGGGTGAGAGTTACTCTGACCTTGGCACATAGGCGTCAGCCAGACTCACTTCCATAAACAAGCTGACTGCGGGGCTAACTCTCCACAGCCTGCCTTGGGCATAATCAATACTACAGTTCTCTGCACAAAGGGGATTTCCTGGGCTGAGGATTTAGCTCAGTGGTGCTCTGCCTGCCTCACAAGTGCAAGGTCCTGAGTTCAATTCCCTGTACCACAAGAAACAGAAAGGGGCATTCCTTCTGTATTATATATTTTCAATACTATTTTTGCTATATACAGGGAATATGTGGAATGCACATTTAGAGTATAAAGCAAATTTCATCAAACACCCAAGGCAAACTTCTAACCCCGGCGCATTCAACTTTCTGTTTTTCTCTGAGCTTTTCCCATTCTCTTGCCGTCTTTATTACCATAAGAAATACGCTTCACGTTTTTAAACGTGTATTAGTTTATCCCTTTGAAGTAGGTTTTATGATCATACTTAGACACTACTTAATTTAGTTTTGCTCAGTTTTTTAAGATGCTGTCGTGCATAATGCTCCTACCTCTTCAGTGCTGTCGCGCTGTGCCTGCAGGGCGGTTGTGCAGCTCCTGCCCACGCCAAACACGCGAAGCTTCTGGTGCTTCGGCCGTGGCTGTGAGTCTCTGGGTGCGTTTGTGCAGGGCTTGCTCGTGTGAACACCTGGGAGTCAACCTGGAGCTCAGGGAAGGACCCTAAGTGGATAAAAGGCGTGACCAAAAACCTTCAGGGAAAAACCAAAAATAAGCAAACAGCAGCCTCAGTTGTGGAAGTGTTCTCCCGCGGATTTCTGCCAAAGGCCAAAATGGTTTTAAAGATGCCATTTGTAAGGAATTAAAATGAAGACATTGATTTTCAGAAGTGTGGGTGTGACCATGAGGATCCTCCTGCTCTATTATTCTTTTTCTTTTAAAATTTTCCTAATAGAGAACATTAATAAAGTGACCCAGAGTAAGTATGGTACAGACCACAGAGAAAAGGCCAGAAATAGCAATCCCGTCAGCGTAGAGCAATTCCACTCGGAAATAAGAAAGTGGGTAGAGCAGAAGTTGATTCCACTAAATGTGCCGGCACCAGATTCTACCAAACAGGACAGAAAAGATTAACCAGCGGCCGAGGTTCAAACTACCCGCGCTCCTCCGGATTGGCCCCGGATGAACACCGGGCCAATGCCTGCAGGAGCCAGAGGATGACGTCCAGCTGCTCTTTATTTCCCATTGGCAAAGCCAACTTCATGACAAAACTGACTTCACTAGAACACCGAAGTGAAAGCTACCTACACCTCAAGGAATAGAAAAAAAATCTCGGTTGGACGCAGTTCCATTCTACCAGGTACGTATCCTTAAAATGAAAAGAACTTACCGAAGAATAAAAGCTAAAGTTTTTCCTACACTCGGTTTCTGCCATGACCCTATTGGAAGTTTGCTACAGCAAGCATCGAGGTGCAGCTAATGTTAGTGAAGAAAAATAAACTTAGAAATGGCTGTTTAGGATGAGCAACTTACTCGTAAAAACTCAGCGCCAACTCTCTTTAGAAAGAGTGGGTGGCTCTCAAAAGAGCCTTTGGGGACAGCGAGAACCTCACTCGCGGGCTCACTTGGCGCACGGCCGTCTGGATCTCCCGCGACGTGATGGTCGAGCGCTTGTTGTAGTGCGCCAGGCGCGACGCGCTCGAAGATGTCATTCACGAACGAGTTCATGATGCCCATGGCCTTGGACGGGATGCCTGTGTGCGGGTGCACCTGCTTCAGCACCTTGTACACGTCCACCGAGTAGCTCTCCTTGCCATCCGTCTTCTGCGCCTTGGTCACCGCCTTCTCCGACCCCTTCTTCGCGGCCGGCGCCGACTTAGAGAGCTCCAGCATCTCGCACCGAGAGAGAGAAAACAATAAGAAGCCAGACAACCCGCGCTGTCTTATCTAGAGGGCGATACGTAAATGAGGCGCGGAGAAGGTCTGCGGCGATTGGTGATTGTGCTTCTGTGACGTCACAATCCCGGCTCGCCCGTTGACCGTCCGCGGCCCGCACGGCCGCCTTCCATTGGTCTAATCGAAAATGAAAAGTGGCCAATCGCAGCGCTGCCTTTTCGCCCCCGGACGACGCCATAAAGAGCGCTTTCTGTCCCTCTCGGGACGCTGTTGAGTGACTCCGCCGCTGGGCTTTAGGAGATGTCTGGACGCGGCAAGCAGGGCGGCAAGGCTCGCGCCAAGGCGAAGACGCGTTCGTCCCGCGCCGGGCTGCAGTTTCCTGTGGGGCGCGTGCACCGCCTGCTGCGCAAGGGCAACTACGCCGAGCGCGTGGGCGCCGGCGCCCCGGTGTACCTGGCGGCCGTGTTGGAGTACCTGACGGCCGAGATCCTGGAGCTGGCGGGCAACGCGGCGCGCGACAACAAGAAGACGCGCATCATCCCGCGTCACCTGCAGCTGGCCATCCGCAACGACGAGGAGCTCAACAAGCTGCTGGGCAAGGTGACGATCGCGCAGGGCGGCGTGCTGCCCAACATCCAGGCCGTGCTGCTGCCCAAGAAGACCGAGAGCCACCACAAGGCCAAGTGAGCTTTTCGAGTGCCTGAAAGAAAACAACGGCTCTTTTCAGAGCCATTTCCATAGTCCTAAGAGATAGTAACACACACCTTTTGGCCGTTTGACGGAGGATCTGACGTTATGTATCTCAGCCTTTTCTTAGTCTCGTCAACTGTCCAAGACTCCAGCTCTCAGACTCCTACCCTAGCAGACTGAGCGCCAGACCCAGGTACTTGTTCGCCTGCTTACAATTCGATCTTGACTTTACTGAGCGTACAACATTCAACTGGAAGTAGCCAAGTAGTTACGTTTCAAGCTATGCAGATCGCATAAGAAACTTCATTGTAAATAGGAAGTGCGTGTCAGTGGTTACCGCTAATGGTTAAGAAAGGCTTGGGGTGTGAGCAGAAAGCTTCATTTTAACAGTATAAAGTGCTTTGAAGTAGTACAAACAGGATTTACATAGCTGCTTGAAACTGGTACTTACTATAATGGAACTAAACTCGGTCCTATGCATGCTACCCCCGCCCTACAGTCCTTATCCCTATTTCCTCAGCCTCCAAAGGGAAACTCACGAAGTTTATGAACAAATAAAAATTAGACATACACTACTACTACATTAAATTTTTGATTTTGGGTTTTGTTTTGGTTTGGTTTTTGCAATTACAAAAGTTGGGGGTCCTGCCCTTCTAGTTAGGGTCCTTAAACCTAATGAAACAGTCACATGTATGTGTGTTGTGTGTGCTGCTGCCCCACTGAAATATGTTACAAAGTAATTTTCATCTTTAGAATTGTATGTCATGTTCTGAAATCTACTTCTGTGCTGTAAAACATTTTTGTGCCTGGCTTAATAGGCCTATCTTAAACATTGTTACAATAAATGAATGAGTTAAATATTGGCTTAGTACACTGGGGAAGTAGAGAGACAATCCCAGTAGTCCAAGCTTGGTAGTAAGAGTAATGCCGGTAGTGCCTGCTGTTGTCATTCCAAGAGCACTAGCAGATGGACTCCTGTTAGGAAAAGTACCATTCATCATGAAAAGCCGGAAGTCATTTGTGATCAGTGAGGTGAGGGATCCCGGATGTTCATACCTATGTGGGCATAGCAAGGTAAGTGTCATTTTGGTCCTTGAAGAGGACTAGAATATTTATGCCACTTAACAGCTTTGCCATTTCAGAAAATTCAGATGCAAGGATTTACATGTATTTCCTCTCCTATTAAATTCTAATTTACTTATTCTTTCAAAAAGTGATTTATTCCACACTGAGCTACCACACATTTAAAGTGCAACATAAATAGTGTCTATCACAAAGAATCTAATCTATTGGGTTAAAACACGCAAAAGCAAACAATTAAACATAATGTAGGACCGGGGATTCAGCTCAGTGGTGCTGCCGCCTGCCTTGCAAGCCCAAATTTCTGAGTTCCATCCGGGTACCAAAAAACAAAACAAAACAAAACAAAACACAATGTAACAAAAATTGCCAAAGAAGTAAACATAGGGAATTAGGGGAGGGTAGACTGCAAGAAAACTCTGAGGAGGAATGCCAGGCATGGTGGAACATGCCTGCAATCCCAGCACTTGGGAGGCTGAGGCAGGAGGATCGCTGCAAGTTTGAGGCCAAGTTGGGCTACACAGTGAATTCAAGGCCAGCATGAACTACATTTTGAGACCTTGTCTAAAAAACACAAACAGAACAAAAGAAAAAAAATCTGAGGCTGGTAAAGCTGATTTGAGGATTAAAGGAAATTAGAGGAGAGTTCAGGGGTCCAGCAGAAAATGCACACACCAGGCTCATGGTTCTAACATGAGCCAGGCAAGTGACAAGAAATCCAATATTGTCAATAACCCAAAGGTTGCAAGAGACAGGCCACAGGGGATTTGTAGGCTGCTCCTTTAGCTTTAAATACTTCTGAAATAGTAGTGACTCCCAACTCTTTATGTCCATCCCAGACAACAGAAATCTGAGCTTGATACATGCTTATTCCTCTACCTTCTAGATTTCTTATAGCCAGGAAGGTCAAAACATCCATCAGAGTGACTGTATCAATTTTACACTCCCCACTGATCCTAGTCTTAGTAAATAGCATCACTTCCATAAGCATAAGTCAAAATGATCTGGCAGCATGGAGGACTCACTTTTGTGTGCCGTCATACATTACAGCAAAACTCAATTCTCATGAGATGGAAACATGCTCCAAGTTCAGAACATGCAGCTAGAAAATCACAAAAATGTTGTAGTTTAGCACATGGAGGAATTTCAGAGAGAATCTCCATGTACTATACCCGTTGTCCCTGAATAGATAATGCTTCATGAAGTCTAAACTGAGAAGTCAATTGGGAGAATTGTTTGGGCTGCATATTTCCAGAAAAGGGAGACTTCCCATCCTGCAAGAGTACTGATCAGTGTAAACCTGGAAAAATCTCCCAGAGGGCCTTTCTGTAATAAATTTCTTTGGCTGGAAAGAGGGAATACACAGTTTACACACTCAAGAACACTAATCTGTTTAGCAGTTGGCCCAATTGTGGATCAACAGGAATCCCCCTTGCCCTGAAGTCTGGTCGAAATTACTTTTTTTTTTTTTTTTTAGTTTTTTGAGACAGTCTCGCTATTAGTTCAGGATAGCCTTGAACTCTTTATATAGCCCAGGCTGGCCTCAAACTTGCCACAATCCTCCTGCCTCAGCCTACAGTGTGCTGGGATTACAGGCGTGTGCCACCACATCCAGCGCTTGTGGGCAGAGCTGTGTATCTTCCTTTCCAAAGGAGGGGTGATCCCTGAGAGAACGAGCCTTTATACTGTGTAATGTGATCCCAACAGAAAGTATTAGAATATGATCTTACTTTCATAAAACACTGAAATCATTCTAAATAGCATACGAAAAATCACATGGGTCCCATCTGTCCTAATCATGGGGCTCCCATTTCTCATGGACCTGCTCGTAGGCAACAAGCAGGAGCAGATTGTACTGGTTTCAGTAATGATCTTGTTCTCAAGTTTCAGAAAAATATGAAGACTGCAATCAATTCGGTTAAGTCGCCAAGTGAAAAAACAAACTGCTTTTTAAAACTAAAAGTTCTGTGATGTTTCTACTTCCATGTTTCACTAGCTGACAGTTTGAGGAGGGGCAGACAATGATATGCAGACACACTATGCCCGGCAAAGGAGGCTTGGAGAGCACTCAGGTGAGAAAGGCAAGTCTCAGGGAAAAGTTAGGGACACAAAAGCTTGGACTACAAGAACAGTTGGAGCGAAGCCAATGTGACCCACAGAAGGCCGATGTCTGCATACTTACCGGTTAATTGTTGCTTTTGTTTGGGATCTTCCACATGGTTGCTGTTACTCACCCATGCATGCATTCATTTATTCATTTATAACATATCAAAAGCTACTACGTTGCCAGTTGTACAAAAGTAAAATTCCCTCCTTTGGGGTTTGGGATTTCACCTGCCTCACAAGTGGAAGGTCCCGGGTTTGAACCCTGGTACCAAAAGAAAAAATTTCCTCCTTTCATGAACCTGAATTTTAGAAGACAAACTAAGCCAAGCAAGTGGTACAAGGTAACATAAATTCTAGGGTAAAATATCAGTGGGGAGTAGGGAGTTCCAATTTATAGTCTGACAATGTGAACATTTAGGCAAAAACCAGAGGTTTGTATCATTTTCAAGAGCTGCCACTGGCTTTCCTACATGACAGCCTTCACTTTTTTTGTTTGAGTGGCCTTGAACTCACTTTGGAGCCCAGGCTGGCCTGGAGCTCACAGCGATCCTCCTTCCTCAGCCTACCGAGTGCTGGGATTATAGTCGTGCCCATCACGTGTGCAGGGCACCCTGACCTCACCTGGCATGGCTCCAGGTCAGCACAAGTCTGACTTTACAGGGGCTTACAGGTATCTGATGTGCTCCATGGGCAGCTCTCTTGCAAATGGCGGGTACCAAACTCATGTCACCAACTAAGCAGTTTAGCAAACCAAAACTACTTCACGTTAACAAGACAGCTAAACGTAGCTCCAGAAATGGGTAATAACTTTTTTTAACCACTTCAGGAACCAGGAGGGACAGTACCACAATTTTGTAACTTACAAGCAACCTTTAGTTTTTGCAATAGAAAAACTGGCACCATAGTACATACCACAGGTAGGTTGTCAAGATTTCCCTAAAGCTTAGATTACTATGAAAACAGGCTGGCTAAATTAGGGACATAAGTATGTCCTATCTTAGGAAAGCGTAAAATGCTCAAATCTAATCGCCTGAAGTGAACCAAAGGTACAGCTCTCTTCAGCGCGGATGTGGGTGGCTCTGAAAAGAGCCTTTGAAGGAGGTGGGGGCGTCGGGGGCTCAGGCCCGCTCCCCGCGAATGCGGCGCGCCAGCTGGATGTCCTTGGGCATGATAGTGACGCGCTTGGCGTGGATGGCACACAGGTTGGTGTCCTCGAACAGCCCCACCAAGTAGGCCTCGCTCGCCTCCTGAAGTGCCATCACCGCCGAGCTCTGGAAGCGCAGGTCGGTCTTGAAGTCCTGCGCGATCTCGCGCACCAGGCGCTGGAACGGCAGCTTGCGGATCAGTAGCTCGGTGGACTTCTGGTAGCGGCGGATCTCGCGCAGCGCCACTGTTCCCGGCCGGTACCGGTGCGGCTTCTTCACGCCGCCGGTAGCCGGGGCGCTCTTACGGGCCGCCTTGGTGGCCAGCTGCTTACGGGGAGCCTTGCCGCCGGTAGACTTACGCGCCGTCTGCTTCGTGCGAGCCATCACTGCAGAATCTGAATCGCCCTAGCTCCGGCGACCCAGACCGGCCGCTTCTTTATAGTCAGAGCCGGAAGGCGATTGGACAAAAAGCCTGCCTTGCTTACGCAACTCCAGCAGGATTGGTCAAAGACTTTCAAAATTTTTTTCTAAATCCTTTGCTAGTTTTAGCTCTGTACAGTTCTTCCCCCCCCCCCCCCCGCCCGTGGGAGTTTTCTACCAGCTAATTCCAGTTTAAAGAAATGCAAGTGAGATGAATAAAGTTTTCTAGAAGTCAAAACTACAACAAGGCGGGCCGGGGATTTAGCTCAGCGGTTCCAGCGCCTGCCTCAAAAGCTCAAGGTCCGGAGTTCGATGCCCGGTGCCAAAAAAAACCCAAACTACAAGGTAAAACCAGGACAAATTGATTTCAATATTGTGCTTAATCCAAAGTATTCTTGCTACTTCACTGTAATCAGTATAAACAGTTAAATATTTCACTTTGTTGGCACTGGGTTTTAGAAACTATGTACTGTATATAAACAGCACTGTTTAATTCAGACCACCAAATTCCCAGTGATCATTAGTTTAGTGACTACCAATTTAGAGTCATTTAACACCATCCTCTTTTGCCTTCAAACGCTTAATTTTAAGAACTTTAAAATTTTTTCACCAATAAAATCCTATTTGTGTGAGGAAATGAAAGCCTCCTAATTTCATAGATGCCTCCTTGTACTAATTAGCTTTCATGTTCAGGTAATATAATACTTCCACTATCCTGCTTTCTAAAAATGTAATTCTTATGCTAGTAAAGAATCTAGTCCAGCAGTTCATAAATAAAATTTAAAATACCAAGTCAAAGGCATTTAAAAAGTATTGTGGATGGGATAAAAGGCTCGGAAATACTTAAGTAAACAATGAGAATTCTCTGGCAACACAACCAAATTAATGTTCAAATTTACAATTTGAATAAAAAAATCTTTTGATCCTTATATAACAATGAAAGTTTTAATTATCCTGATTCTGGTTTAGGGCTCAGAAACCTCAAAAGCTCCAAAAAAACCCCTCTAGGTTAGGTTACTTTAAAAAGCTGGGTTGGATGCTGCATCCTAAAGATCTTCCATTTGCTAAGACCAAGAAAAAAAACCTGGCACATCAAGACTTGAGATGGGGCCAGGGATTTAGTTCAGTGGTTTCGCCGCCTGGTGCGCAAGCACAAGGACCCGAGTTCAATCCCCGGTACGAAACAAAAAGACAAGATGGATTCACTGTTAGAAGCATTACTGACGTGGGAGCGAGAATGACTTAGCGAAGCACAAGGTGGAAGGAACTCCATTGCGCGGCACGGTACCTTGAAACAGCCCTTTCGTGTGCTAGGTTATGTGGAAATGGGTTCAGATGCTAACCTAAGGCTGGTGGAAATTAAATGTCTATGTGATTAAGAAGTGGACATGAAGCTCTTCACGAAGTGCTCAGTTCTTCCAAGCAATTTGGGTGGCTCTGAAAAGAGCCGTTGTTTTGGTTGGGAGAGGCAAGACCACCTCGTTCCACTTCTACTTGCCCTTGGCCTTGTGGTGGCTCTCGGTCTTCTTGGGCAGCAGCACGGCCTGGATGTTGGGCAGCACGCCGCCCTGCGCGATCGTCACCTTGCCCAGCAGCTTGTTGAGCTCCTCGTCGTTGCGGATGGCCAGCTGCAGGTGGCGCGGGATGATGCGCGTCTTCTTGTTGTCGCGCGCCGCGTTGCCCGCCAGCTCCAGGATCTCGGCCGTCAGGTACTCGAGCACGGCCGCCAGGTACACCGGGGCGCCGGCGCCCACGCGCTCGGCGTAGTTGCCCTTGCGCAGCAGGCGGTGCACGCGCCCCACAGGGAACTGCAGCCCGGCGCGGGACGAACGCGTCTTCGCCTTGGCGCGAGCCTTGCCGCCCTGCTTGCCGCGTCCAGACATCTCCTAAAGCCCAGCGGCGGAGTCACTCACCAGCGTCCCGAGAGGGACAGAAAGCGCTCTTTATGGCGTCGTCCGGGGGCGAAAAGGCAGCGCTGCGATTGGCCACTTTTCATTTTCGATTAGACCAATGGAAGGCGGCCGTGCGGGCCGCGGACGGTCAACGGGCGAGCCTGGATTGTGACGTCACAGAAGCACAATCACCAATCGCCGCAGACCTTCTCCGCGCCTCATTTACGTATCGCCCTCTAGATAAGGCAGCGCGGGTTGGCTGGCTTCTTATTGTTTCTTCTCTCTCGGTGCGAGATGCCGGAACCGTCGAAGTCGGTGCCAGCCCCGAAGAAGGGGTCGAAGAAGGCGGTGACCAAGGCGCAGAAGAAGGACGGCAAGAAGCGCAAGCGCAGCCGCAAGGAGAGCTACTCGGTGTACGTGTACAAGGTGCTGAAGCAGGTGCACCCGGACACGGGCATCTCGTCCAAGGCCATGGGCATCATGAACTCGTTCGTGAACGACATCTTCGAGCGCATCGCGGGCGAGGCGTCGCGCCTGGCGCACTACAACAAGCGCTCGACCATCACGTCGCGGGAGATCCAGACGGCCGTGCGGTTGCTGCTGCCTGGCGAGCTGGCGAAGCACGCCGTGTCGGAGGGCACCAAGGCCGTCACCAAGTACACCAGCGCCAAGTGAGCCCGTGAGTGAGTCTCACGCTGCCTACAAAGGCTCTTTTCAGAGCCACCCACTGTTTCTAAGAATACGCTGTTTCACTTTGGGCGTATGTTTTGAGTGTATTTGTATCTACATAGTTAGGCATTGCTGAAGCACGCTGATCTTCTGAGACGTCAGAGGGGCTAACCATGTGTATTTTGGAGATCTGGTTTTCTTGCTGTTAGAATTTTATGAGGAATGAAGAAAGGCACGCTCCTCAACCACCAGGGCTGAGGCTGTAGTCGATAGTCTCGAGAGCAGGCAGAACGTGGCTGGAGCTCCGATTTTCACTCCTGTCACCTAGTGCGTGTGTTCATGAACTATTGGCCACAACTGGAGCAAAGTTTAAGTTGCAGCTCTTATCCTGAAGAGCTGATCTCCCTGTGCCTTGGCATCCCCTACCGAGCCAGAGAACCCGGCGCGGGCCGAGCCGCTAGGTCGGAGTTAGGGGACTTGGCCGAGGCCCGGTGACTGCTTCAGAGAGGAACCCCTACCGCCTGCGCTTTCCTGGTGCTGCTTTCCGTGCACTGTGCCCGCGCCCTGGGCCTTAGCATCCGCCCTACCTGTAAAATTACAAGCACTGTTTAAAGAATTACGTGGCTCTTCATAGAAGTGTATTCAGGTCAGTTTGATGAATTAAAGCCGAGTGTTTTTCTCGTCAGGCTATGACTCGGAAAGTGTTTTTTCCAGATAGAGGCCTGGCTAGCTTCACTGTGCAGAACCACTAGCTGGAGGAGGCCCGGGTGCAGCTGCGGAGATCCGTGCTCAGGAGAAACGAGTTAGAAAGTGGCTGACGCGAAAGGAGGTAGTGCAACTAGTGTGCTTGTTTGTAAGGCAAATCTTTCTTTGCTTTTGTTTGCTTTTTGAGGCAGTCTCATTATTAGTTCAGGCTGGCCTTGAACTCACTATGTAGCCCAGGTTGACCTGGAACTCACTCCAATCCTGCCTCAGCCTCCTGAGTGCTGGGATTACAGGCCTGCTCCACCACGCCTGGCCCTAAGGCAAATTTTGAGACTTGCTTTTCAGTCCTACCTTCACGTGTCTATTTATCCTGCGAGTTGGTCTCGAGGGTCCTATACGTGCATCGGCAAAGCCAACAACATCTTGGAACACAGTAGGAGAATAAAGCCTCGGAATTAGAGCGGGCAAAGAGCAAACGAGCCTGCTGGAGGCGAGAAGACCGCGTCAGAGTCAGGGGAGGAGCTCCCGCGGACCGGCCGGAGCCCGGCCAGGGGGCGGCGGTCCTTTGGCTCCAGAGAGGCTGGGGTGAATGTGGCCAGAGGGGCTCCGGGCGCCTTGAGAGGGATATGAAGTTCATCCAGCGCGGAAACTGGATTTCTTCAGAATGTTAACAAGTCTTGTGTAATGTGCGATGCAGATTCTGTGCTCGTTCCCTAGTGGGCGCGCTGGGAGTAGATTAGAAAGGAGAAAATCAGAGGTCAGGCGGTTGGAGAGATCCGCCGTCAGCGAGAACCGGAAGCAAAGCTGGCAGAGCGAGCTGCAGAGGGAGCCTCGGGGAGAACCGGGCAGAGCAGGTCCTGGCTCCGGGAGGCGCTTCGGGCTGCCGAGCCCAGGACGCGGAGAACCCGTCCTGATCGTTTATTGCACAAATTATATTCCTATCTTTGAAATTCTGTCAGTAGGACGGTGATCAAGATTAAGAAATTTCCAGGATTGGTTTCTCAATGGCATTGCGTGTGTTTCAGCTCGTCAGTGAGTCCGTGTCTCACAGCGCTGTGTTAGTGGAAGGCGAAAGCGAAAGAGGACAGGACTCAGCCCCAGCGCTTCTCCGGCCGCCTGAGCCCTGGGTGGTGGGCCAGCAGGCGGCCGGCCGGGATTTTCTAGTGATGACGAAACCGCGCACACACCGTGGGCTTCCTTGATATCCTGTTCCCACACTCTTGCTTGTCTTTGGTCTTTTGTTTCGGTTTGAAGAAGCGCGGGCTTTTATGCCCACCTGCAGGAAAGGAAAGCTGCGTGAGGAAGTGCGCTGCCGGGCTGCCGGACTGCCGGAAGGGAGCAAAATCTGGAGGCTCCGTGCGAGGCTCAGCCTGAGCTTCCCAAAGCCGCCTAGGGCTGCGACTGCCCCGGTGTGCGTCATGTCCCCAATTTCCCCACAGTGAGACCGGAGACCAAGCCACTGGAGCATTCGAGCAGCCATGGAGCTTCACGTCCGCACCCTCGTGCCAGGGAGCCGAGCCCGATTCTTCCACATGAGCTTGATGTGAACCAGGTCCCTTCCAGCCGGGATGAAGCCACTTTTGTCCTAATCAAATTTCTTTCCCACAGTGCAGAGTCCACGTGGCGCTGCCGCCGCCCGGCCCTCACTCCTGTCTGTACACAGCTCTAGACCGCCCGCCTCCGCGGTCCTCATGCCGCACCAGAGCTGTTCATTCAGGAGCATTCGGGCGGCCCAGCCGGGCAGCAAAGGGGCACGGGGCAGAGCCTGACAGCCTCAAGTTCAGCCCCTCCTCGCAGGACACCCGGAACTCACCCGCTCGTGGAGTACAAGGTTGACAGGCGGAGAGCAAGGGAAGCAGGCTAAGGAGGGCAAGAGGGCTCGGCCGGGGAGGAGGAAGAAACGGGAAAACGCATCGGCCCCCATTCTGACCAGGAAATGAGAGTCCGGGTTAAGGCCGAGCAGACTGCGTCCTTTGCCTCGGTCTGGCCTCTTGTCTAAAATGTGCTCTTTGTTGAAGATGCGGTGTCGCCTCCACCTCTGTCACCTCTTTGCCCCCTCTCCGGTGCTCCCGCGGCGTGTGCCACATGCACCTTTGCAGGTAGTGACTTTCACTCTTATCAATCTACCTTTTTTCATTTCTCCTCCTCTTCCTTTTCTTTCTCCAACTTTCTCCTTCTTCCTTTCTACAAGGCCCCAGCAAAGAAACCCAGAAGGGCAGAAGTAAAAATTGTTTCCTTTCCTGTTTGAGGCTTCTAGACTAATTAGGTATTTCTAAGTAATGACAAACTTTCACAAGTGCTCCTTTTTAGGTGGCTTGCTTTTATAGCGTTCTTCTCTCATATCCTTTATCTTCTTGGAAGGACTTGATTTTATCTGTCTATCTGTCTATCTATCTATCTATCTATCTATCTATGTATCATATATATGCATATTCTCTTTATTCACAGAGTGGTAGGGTTTGTTGGTGGGGTATGGAGAAATCTTGAGGCTCTTATCATGACTATCCTATTTTAATTTTAGCTTTAGGATACTGTTTAGAAATTTCAAAATGTTGTATCCCAGTGAAAGACTTATTCAAACAGAAGGTTAAGAGAATGAAAATTATTATTATAACTAACATGAGGTGTGATCAAAACATACAGTGCTTGTTTAAAATTTTAAAGATTTGTTACAGTAAAAGACATTGCTGTTAATCTACCTCAAACACTCTCACTTTGAACACACTTTTCCCATCATCTTTCCTCTTTCTGGAGCAGTTTTGGAAGTTCTCTTTCCTATATTTATGAACTGCAGTTGAAACTCACTGAATCCTGCTGCTGAATGCCTTCCAATAGCCAGACAGACAGACTTATAAAAACATGACAGCGTGTCCTCAGCCACCTGTCACTGGTTCTGGCAGTGTGACTTATGGCTTGTCCCCAAAGTGAAAATGACCGTGAAAAGTCAAAGTTTGGAATCAATTCAGGACATTAGGCAGCCAGAACAGCACAGCTAAAGACACTCAGCAAAGAGGGCTTACAGAACTGTCTCAGAAAGGGGCGAGAATATGGGATAAGTGTGTTTGAAGGAAGAGGAAGTATTTTGGGGGGATTAATGGCAATGTGTCTTTATTGTAATCATTTTTTTTCAAACTCAAGAACTGAGACACCGTATTTTTTAATCCTACCTTGAAAATGCAACAGAACATGAATCTAATGTGAGTATGAAGAGGTAACAGAAGCTGGATGTGGTGGCACACACCTGTAACCCCAGTTATCTGGGAAGCTTAGGCTGAACGATTGTTCCAGGCCAGTGTGGCAGTTTAGCTAGCTCCTGTATCAAAGTAAAATTCTAAAAATGGTTGGGGTTTTAGCTTAATCCTCAGTACTAGAAAAGGGGAGAGTGATAGTGAACAAGTTACTGAAGATCATTGAATATGAATGCTAAAAATCTTAGCTAAAAACTATAGCACTAAGATCATACTGATCTAAGGCACCAAGTAATCCAAATAAGAGAAATATTACAACTTCCAATCTGCTAGATATCTGAAACCTGAGTTCTAAAATTGAAGAATAAATTCCAAGAACAACAGAGGTTAAGAGTAGGAAGAATTTATTGAAAGAAAGGCAGCTTCTAAGAGAAAAACAATGAGGACTAGAAAGTGGGTTGACAGCCCACCCACCTCTCAAAGGTGTTTTATGGGGCAAAGCCATGAGGTGAGCTGGGTACAAAGTGGGACAAAACTTTAAGTTCCAGGCCGGGGATTTAGCTCAGTGGCACTGTGCCTGCCTTGCAAGCACAAGGTCCTGAGTTCGATCCCTGGTACCAAAAAAACCTAAACAAACTACAAGTTCCAGTGGAAAATCATGAGGTGGGACAAAACTATGATTAACCAATAAGATTATAAGTATAGTCACCCAGATAATATTGATTAAATGGGGATCCAATGGGAAAGCTAGTCATGTAGCAAAGTGTCCATGGATTTCCCTGAAGGAATGGGATAGCTAGGGATGGTTTGGTTCCCTCTTAAGTTGATTGATGTCTATTTAGAATATCAATCACTTCTTCATATCAGACATACCATATCATCAATCATATCAGACCCTTCTTGGCCTGCTATTCATCCCCAGGGAAAATAGATAGGTGTAGTAATTTCTGTCTTCTTACTGTTAATCTTCAGTGAATGTGGCTCAATTGTTTTCTATGCTGAGGGCCCATCCCTGTCCAACTGCCTTATAGTATTCTTAACTAACTGAGCTATCTGCAATAATACAAAGTCAATGTAACCATTTTGCTCAGTTCTCCGCATTAATTTTCAGTGTCCAGTGGAGCAAGTGCTGTCATCTTCACCCTCTGTGTAAAAGTAGAAATCAGCCCCAGGTAAAAGTGAATTTACACCCAGGCTTTGTCTCATTGCAAAGGCTGATCTCTTAACTCCTCCTCAAAGTAACTACACACAAACACTGAAGAGGAAGACATCGCATTTTAAACTGTGCCAGGGTTTTTAATAATTGTTTGAGTTAGAAGCATTTCACAGTGCATCCATGGGAGGGAGGGAACACGCCCTTCAGTCTCTGGAGTGTGACTCTTAAATACATGGACATAGCCAGATGAGCTGCAGAATCCTGGGGATGTACCACACGTGAGAGGCATCCCTCCAAGGAGGAACGAACACCCAGAACCCCATGGGGACCTATAAGCTTCCCAAGCTTCTTCCTTATGGTGGAGGAGGGACGTGGGCAGGCCACAAAGAAGATGACCCTGGCCACAGGGAGCATAAGACGCCTGCAGCCGAGCCAGCAGGGTGGTGGTGACCGATGGCACTGTGACTCACTTCATCTCTACTTGGTGGAGTTCTGGGTGGGGGCTGGAGGATCTTCAGACAGATAAAAGGCATTCAGAGGAAGCCTCTCCCTGAATTTGCTGTTACCCAAGCGCTCTCAGTTTGAAGTGCAAAGGGGCAGATTTTGGGATGGCGTTTACCAAACCCTCTCACTACCCTATGTGCATAAAATATTAAATATATGAAGTGATGCACATGTCAGTAGGCATTCAGTAGGCCCAAGTATCAGGAGGTAGTGAATCATCCATTGTCTAGGCTATGATTTAGAGGTATTGGTATTTTGTGTTTTGCCTAGTCTGCTTCTTCTGAATTTTTAGCCATGTCCATGAATTGCAGTGTGGTGACTGACGCTGATTGCTGAGCTGCGACTCCAGTCTGGTGCTAATCACCTGGATCCCGGCCGAGCTCATGAGGCCAAGGGGTTCCCCCTGACATGCACCTCCATTGTCAGACTCAGGTTCCAGGCCACACATACTTCTGAGTAACTGCACCGTATCCAGGGGTTTCCACACCCCTTGGGTTCTGTAACTGCTAGGCTCACTAATTTCTGGCCAGGTGCTGCACTTTTGATGGCATATTTACCAGAAAAGATTCACATCAAGAGCAGTCAGATGGGGCCCGCTGTGCTAGGCCACTCAGGTCCCGGCACATCCGGTGTTCGCCGCCCTGAAGTCCACTGCCTCATGTCCCGCTGGAGGTCTCATCACAGGGACTTCGCGGGCTGCACCCCAGCTTTCAGCAGAGCTGTCCTTTCTGGAGACCAGCCCCAAACCAAGTTGCTAGGGACTCCTGCAGTAAGTCTCTAGTCCCCACCTGCCCAGTGCTCGACACTAGGTTGAAGAAAAACTTAAGACAGCCAAAGAGAAAGTGTGAACTGGGACGGCCAATGCTCCTTTGCCAAAAGGCCCTGGTCTGTCTCACCTACTGAATTTTATTATTCATCAATCAGGGTAAAGGTGCAATATGTGTATAGATGTGCAGTTGTGCAATTACCATGGAAACCAGTGTAGACAAGGCTTTAAAGAGAAGTCAAAGCATTTTCAAATTAGAAGCAAGACAGACAAAATATGTGGTTGTAATTAGAGCACTGTCCTTCAGGCTATGAAGGCACTAAGGTGGGAATGGAGTTTGGGTGCGGTTCCTCGGACCTCAGCTCCACCTGTTATCTTGTGTCAGGCTCGCAGCTTCCTAGGCCGTACTCTTGGCTCGCCCGGGGGAGGTCATGGTGACCTGTGCAGCAAGCAGTGCCCATGAGATGCTTCTGTGAGTCATGCAGCTTCAGTCAGGCTCGCTTCTTAAAGCCAGTCAAGGGGTTAACTCTTTACAGCTTACATTGCTTACGGCATGCTCTGGGCATAATATTGCTGGTTCTGGCACTGAGTCACCTCATCCTTCACACAAAATCAAGTGGAGGCGAAGGGCTTTGATAAAGACACTTTCACTCCTGAGGGGGAATCCCCAGGGATTTAGAGCCTTTCAAGAACCATGCACAAATCTTTATTATATAAAGAGATCAGAAAATATTATCATGCAGTACTAAAATTTTCATTCTAGGTTTAGTTCAAAGTGGAAGGTCAGGCAAAGAAGGGACAGGATACAGGGAGGGGCTGATTGGTAAACTTCAGACACGAAACGAGGCTTGTAATCCACACTCCTCCCACATGCCTCTCCTCAGGATAAGCAGGTTCTCTTCCCCTGGTAGTAGGGATGGTGGGTCTCACAGGACGCCCTCACCACCCGCCTCAGGGTCAAAGACAGAAGTCACTGAGTCCTTCCCTTTCCTAAATTATTCAGTTCAAAACATTCAGTATGCCAAAGTTAGGGTAGTGTGTCATTACCAGTCCAAAACATATGCAGAGCTGTAGAAATGAGCTTTATTTTAATTAATTACTTTATTTATTTTGAGACAGGCTCTTGCTATGTAGTTCAGGCTGGCCTTGAACTCACCCTGTAGGCCAGGCCGGCCAGGGCCACTAGGCTATCTGCCTGCCTCAGCCCCCTACGTGCCAGGATTACAGGCCTCCACACCCAGCAAGGCAAGTCTTTTAAGCATGTTGTTGAGGTTAAAGATGATACCCCAAGCAGGGTGCTTTGGTGTGCTGAATCCTTTAATAAGGCCTCAGAAGTAGTCCCTCTCTCTGGCCTTCCTGTCTCCTGATTTTTCTCTGCACCAAAACAAGCCACAGAAAATGTAGCAGACATCCCTGTCCAGTACTAGTGGGCTATAAGTGGCACCTGCTTCTTGCCTTCCATAATTCAGCTATATTGTTTTCTATCAGGAGTCAGACTGAAGCTCTACCTGACTCAAATGCGCATGTCAGCTTTTGGACTGGCGAGTATGGCCCCGCCCCCAGTGGCTGCCTCGAAAACCTAGGCCCTGCTCTGTGAAGTGGCAGAGCGCTGCTGAGTTGCTGCAGCTGAGGTCGGTGTGACCCCAATTAAAACCCCTTGCCCTGAACTACGGCTTCTCACTGATCCGATGGGTTGCTGGCTAATTATACCCAGTACTGGTTTGTTCTTTCCAAGCAAGATAAACAGTGCCTCCTCCCTTTTACAGCCCTGCTCAGAGCCATTGTGCCAGATGTTTGCCCCTATGTCATTAATGTCTTCAAAACATACCCTGCTCACTTTCTTCCCACACCTATAATCAATAAATACCAGATGTACTTGGGGGCCTTTGTCTTTGTTGCCCAGAGTAGCAATGATCAGCCCCAAGACCCAGCTTTCTGAGACTTGTTTCCGTCTTTATTCTTATCACCTTAGTGTTGTGTGGCCTCACAGGAGACCGGGACCCACTGCAGAGGTCTCTGGTGATGTCCCCTTTCCCGTCCCTATAAGAAACTAGAATCCTTCTTGCTCAAAGACACATGTAAAACTTGACAAATATTATTCCTACTCTCCTTGCTGCTTCTATGTTAGAACAGGGATAAGGTAATTCTCTGGCCTTTCAAAGACATTCGTTCTGGACCAGCCTACCCTTCCGGGAGGAAGGAATGTCCCACAAAGAGGCCAGGGCAACCGGACAGAAAGGCCCTGTGGGTTTCCCTTTCATGCCCACAGTCAGGCCACTCCCTTTTCCTCCAATTCCATTTCCACACAGCTGACCTCTCCTCAAACTAGAGCAAAACATGGGACAATTTTCCCTGAGTCTTTGAGTCTTCATTTCTGAAGGCTTTGTATCACATAAAACTCTGATGAAATAAATCTTTTGTGGTTTTCTTTTGCATTGACTATGACTCTTAATAGGGGGAGAAAAGGTACCATGCCTTTTTATCCCTACAGTTTGAATCTTCCTGCTCTGATAAATTACTAACTGCAATGTAATTATATCAAAATTCTACAGGGTTGGGGCCAGGAATTTAGCTCAGTGATTGCACTGCTGCCCGCAAGCTCAGGGACTGTAGTTTGATCCCCAGTACCAAAACAAACAAACAAACACTGAAGGGTTTCCATATATTTTTCTTTAAACTTGAAATAAGGTACAATGTTTAAAACAGTTTTCAGTGGAAACAGAAAAAGGTAACAATTGTTCCTAGTATTTAGCATAATCATTTTATCACTTCTATATTTTATTCCTTATTGACCAGACTCAATCCTCTATACTCAAAATACATCCTAAATATAACAGATGTTAAAATCCATACTAGAGGGCTGGGGATTTAGCTCAGTGGTTCTGCCGCCTGCCTCACAAGTACAAGGTTCCAGTTCAAACCCCAGTACAAAAAAAAAAAAAAAAGAAGACATACTAGAGGGCTGAGTGTGGTGGCACATGCTTGTAATCACATCACTCGGGATCGTCATGAGTGTGAGGCCAGCCTGGGCTACATAGTGAGTTCAAAGCTGTCCTGAGCTACACTGAGTGACCCTGTCTCCACCCTCCCCCCAAAAACCCATACTAGAACTGGAGGTGTAGCTCAAAGGTGAAGCCCTGGCAAACAAGGACTTTTGCTCAATCCCTGGTCTCTCAACCCTGGCCCCAATCATGCTGCTCACCAAAGAGAAACACTCAAGACAGTTACTGCTGGCACAGGTGGGTATAACAAACCCTGTTTAGGGAAGGGTGGTGCCATTAATCAGACACCTTAAGGTCTACAAGCTCTGTGATAAAGCATTTCAATTCTAGACTATCCTCAGAAAACAGATTACACAGTTTTTCTTTATAATACAAAAACATTTAGAAAATGCTTTATGGTAAATACTAGAGATTCGTTAAAATGTATCACAAAAAATTCTTATGATGAAATGTTAAGGAGACATTTAAAATCTTCCCTAAGGCAAATTTCCGAAAATTTTAGCTGTAAGCATAGATTGCCTTGGACAAGGAAAATTGTACAATATAGTAGAACTTTAGTAATGCTTCTTAGGGTTAAAAATTATGCCTCATCAGCAGGGAAGATTGGAGGTATTTACAAATGTGTCTGATTAGTGAATCGCAGGTTAAAACTTTATTATGGGGCCAGGTGTCCCGGCCTGCGGGTAAGTCAACGAAGACCCTAGAGGGGGAGCGAGGATGAGAGGGGACAGGGGACACGAGAGATGGAGACAAGACAGGTTTCTGATCAAGTCTCGTTTATTGCGGAAGCTGCTACAACATATATACCTTAGAGCGAGAGGGGAGGAGTAAGAGGAGGGCACTGGGGCTACTTCCTTGT